GAAGCTATGATATTATTCACGCGGTAGGGAGTCTTCCAGCTATTTTCATAATCCTTCTTCTTCCAAGAACCTATATAACAAAGATATTTTTAATAACAAAAGACCACCTGCCTTATCTTCAAGTTACAGTATAAATTGACACCACTATTGGTTCCAAGTGCCAATTTAGGATCCAATAGTCGTCCAAATGCTCCAGCTAATGACCCAATTGGGGCCAAATATGGTGGTCATTGTCGATGATACTCGACTCTTATTGGTTGCTGTTGTTCCTATTTCTGAAACGTGGTTGGTTACTTGCTCAATTACATCTCACTCGTAACATCTGCCAGGCTTATTTAGCGTATGCCTCTACTTGAATAGCTTGCATTAACGGGAAATGAAAACTTGATGCCTGCATATCGAAGTCTTCTTTCTTATCGTATGGGTGGCATTTTAATGGTTACCATCGTAAAAGGTTTTGCTTTCGGTGTAAAGTACTCGCTATCGTGTCCCAGGGTTTACCAGAAAGTAAAGTGGTACAGTGGTAGGTTTTTTTAATATAAATATCAAGTGACGGGACGAGCAAGTCGTGTGCCTGGTGGTGAGCCACACGCCTGTCCATAACAGTTGCAGTGCCATTCAGAGACTCAAATCGCAAAGATCTGAGGGTCACTGCCATTGCACCTGCCGTCCTGAGACATAAGGTGACAAGCGATAAGTGCCTGTAATTTCAGTAGCACTCTTACGCTTCAAAACCGGAACACAGAAATGGTCACATTGCTTCTTGGTAGCAGAAAGTGGCAAGGTGGCAGTTCTTCCCTGGACGAACTCGTGTGTCGTGTGGGAAGTCTCCTTTCGTGCTCCTCAGTAACTAAGTAACTAAGTTCTTATCACCAATGTTGATTCTTTTTAGCACCCGACGCGACAAGAGAGGAGTTATTTCAAGCCTTTATTTTTATATCTGTGTATCTGTCTGTGACAGCGTAACTCCTAAACGGATAGACTAAATTCCAAGCGGTTCTTTTTTTTTCACTTAAGTCTAATTAACAAATGTTTGATGAACAACTGTTCAGCAGCTGTTTAAAGATCATCATTTCTTTTCCCGGTTAGTGTACAGAGATATCTGACTCATAAAATGAATATTTATTTTTCTACCACTTGCCCAATCGACTTGAAATTTAGTGTACTATGAAAATCCGATGACATAACAATAATATAGTAATGTTGATCTGATGTAGCAACCAGGACGTTCTGCAGAGTACCCAATCCTTAACTAGTTACAGTAGAACTATTGTGTTCGGGCTCTTAAATTGGACGTGAGAAACGACATGAATTTTGTAACCGAGTATCCAATACTCAGTCGGTATTGGGATAACAACGTAGCAGTACACAACTCGATCATGAAACTATGAGAGTCAATGATAACAGAGGCAGTTATTTTGCTTCCCGTTATTGACTATATGTTTGTAGTTTGTGAGTTTGGACTACGAAGCCTTTATTAGGACCATTACAAAATGTCGTTTGATATTATTATGCTGTATAGTATTGTCGCGGAAACCTTCTTTCCTTAAAATAAATTCATTTTCTTATTACCACTTATAGAAGTGGTGACGATAGCGTCATTTCGTCTATAATAATGAATAAAAGTGCTATAAATGTGTAACGAATAAAACTTTGTACCATCATGTGTTCCTCCATACTAGCATTACCTGAAGGAATAAGGAGCTTTTTCTGAACTTTGGTGTCATTTTGGGGATATAATAGCACAAGCAATTATAGCACCGGCACCCTACGATGGCCGTTTTGACGTTTATCCACTCATAAAATAACTACGTTGAAAGAGCTAATTGCTGCACATTGTTGTCGATAGTGACGTGCAGTAAAATTTTATAGAATGTATAATTTTACGACATCGAAATTCGAAATTTAAAAAAATTAAATCTAATACGATCGTACGACGATACGACCTCCAGCAAACTCGCGTCACAGCTCAATGCAAAACAAAGCAAAAGTTTTGAATTGACGACATATTAAGTAAACATTTTTATTTTCGTTTTAAAAACTTATAGATACGACTCGCATTTGATTATATTTCTTTCGATAATGAATTGAGATTTGACCTCACTATTGTAATCTGTCAAAACGACCATCATGGCAATCATAGCGTGAATACAAGCGCGATAATACAGTTCACCCTTAGCCGCGTGCCTCGGATTCTTTACACCACACTAATAATATCTCACTCATATCTTTAAGGCGAGTGACCGGAGGGGAAGCGGGAAAAAACTGTTTTGGTAGTTCAAATAGTTTAGGTATTTACTATCAAATAAATAAATAAAGAAGTCTTATAAGAAATATGCAATATCGCTAAGGACATTGTCAAAAGAATGTGCGAATTTGTTTCTCGATAGGGTGTGCTTTACTCGGTCTTAAAAAATCTTGAAAACAGGCTAAAATAAAGTCGAAAATGAATTATTTAAGAACAAAAAAAATATCTAACTTTGCTCATAATTTTTATAAGGATATATTTCTCTTTAAGTACTACAGAGAACGTGCTAAATTTTGATTTTCAACTGAAGCCCTATTAAATTCACATATATTTACTAAATTCACATTTATTCCAAAATGTTAAAAACGCCCAGCTGTTTAACGACACGCCACGCCGCTCGCTGCCCCGTCCGGTCACCATCGGACGCTTCTTGACAACAGATCTGTTTCAAATTTTTTCCGCTGGTTCTTATTTTATTCATAATTATCAGCGCACGGATTGCGGAACGCGAGGGCGACCACACCTCACCACCTAAAATGTAGGCTTCCGTCTTAAAAGCCAGGCTCTGTCTTGAACCTCAGCACTATTTCTGCAAAGCTTTTTCTTTGATCTCCTAAGGTATAAACAAAATCTTTGATTTACTTATACTAACTTTGATGTTTGCGTTCTGTTTTTATATTATAATATTGCGCAAGACAATCACACCAATTGAAGCATTGGGTGTGACAAGAGCGTACATCACGAAAATTCAAAATAAAGTTTTAATGTCTTACATCTTTTTAATATTTATAATATGACTCTTACATACTTTATTATTTATTTGTCCTATGATTAATCTAAAAGATTCAGGTGTTATTATTATTTTAAAACCATTAGAAACATTTGAATTTTTTTGCCTTGTGTTATCCGCCATTGTTACACCAACCCGGTAATTTAACGGGGCGCTCGTTTTATTATTGCTTTTTAAGGCAAGAAATTGTGTATCAATCATATTTGAAAATTACATTGAAAAACGTATTTTTAAACATTCGTTGAATTCGCTGGATTTAAATGAATCGACAGTATCACCTTCAGCAGGTCTCACTGGCCTCCTAGATGCTCCATGTTGAGGGTAAATTCGCTCGTTTTAGACATTTTTTTACATTAAAATAAGTTTTTACAAACTGCAGGTGGTAACATGTCCGAAATTCAAACGCATATTTATAATCTATGCCACAAGCGCCACTTCTAAAAGGGAAATCGAAATGAGTTTTTGTCACAAGTTTTTACATGTTTCGTAATAACATCAAAACGGGCTTTGGGTACCGAACGCACTTGTTACCAATGCTTCAATTACCGGATCTCAAACTACTGTGTGTGTGGAATTGCATATTTGATTCCGCCTTCCCCTTTCCATCGGGGGACTAGACGTGGGCTGGGGTTCCACCTCTATGTTGTGGATATTCCCAGTATTCGCACGAAGCGTTCCCCGAACGCTATAACGTGGACCTTTTCAAGGCGAGAGTGACCTCATCGTCACTTTCTATCATGTGAGATGGAGGTCAAATGCGCACTCATTTTTTATAAAAAAAACTTTGAGTACCAGTTTAATGATATAAGACACCAAAGCCAATTTCCAAAAGTTCGTTATCTAAATCAAGTCGTACAGTGAATCAGACTCAGTAACACGGTGTGCTGACGGCGTCATTTTCAGTGCTGTGAACAAATCATTAAAGAATCTAGCTATGATGATGTTTGAAATTTGATTTGTTTTTCTGCTATTGTTAAATTCGTTATTAAAATATCAAACGACATGATGTTTTTGTTACTGTATTGTTTTGTGAAAATACTCCACCAGTATGCTATTATCATTGACACAAAGACCAAAAAAACAAAGCCAATTCCTTGGACTGGACTGGTCGGAGGAATTAGCAACTATTAGAATTAGAATATCTTAATTAAATATATTTATAATTATCTGTCATGTAAGCGTGTTGACTATTAAGTTGTAAGTTTGCAATGTAAATGAATGAATAAATTATTTGACTATACATTTATAGTGTGGCTCGGCTTGAGCTGCTCTAGCAGCTTTTGTAAATAAATACGGTCGATCTCGAAGATGGCTGGCAAATATCGTGCCTTTATACTTTCTATAACATTGTTAATTCAACCCTAGATTCTCAGCTGCTCGAACAACTAGTTATCTATTCATTCTGTGTGCATACACACACAGTTGTTTACTCTATAATCTTCCACTAAATGGACCATTGTACAGAATATGTCGATAGTACAGTGGCATATGTCTTTCGAAACAGTATTATGCTCTGGTTTCAACGAAAAATAGCGTCAAACTTTTCTGTTATTCTTTTTACGATACCAAGTGACTGAACAAAGAATTCGTGCGCCTTGTTGCTCAGCGACAAGCCTGTTCGCGGTTGCAGTGGCGATCAGAGCGTTAAATCTCAAAGATCTGAAGGGCACTGCCACTACGTTGTAAAGTCCCGTGTGCCTGTCACCAGCACTTTAAGGCGTTTTTCCACCGGCGAGGCAACACGTGACAAGGATTGAAATTTGTGTGGCAAAATTTCATTCTCTCCTAGCGCCGCTTCTTCTTGATTATTTGTTGATGTAATATTGAACCATATGACTGCCCAGATAAAGTATTAATTATCTCAGCAACGGAAACACGATTTCGTGTAAGATGTACTTAAAAGTAGTATAGTGCTTTAAAAGATGATATACAATTCTCATAATCAAAATTCTCTTGTTTCAGAACTAGTGCCAGTGATGTGCAAGTGATGTGAAGTGCGTGTGACAGTGATAGTTATACTCAGCGCGATGATCATGACGATGATGTTGTGTCGCTCGCACGTATTTTGCGGCGTGTTGCTCGGGTTCCTGCTCCAATGCGTGGACAGCCAGCAGGAGGTACTGCTTGAGGAATCATGTGAGTAATGTAAATGTTATTTCGCTGTAGATACAGATTAAGCTGAGAAAATTTTCGTCCGTTACAATATTGAAGAATTTAAATTCTCTCAGGAAGTAATTTCTTCTTAAAGGTAAAAAAGTACAATCGATGCCCTGATCCCGGATATAAGATACCTGACCCCCCTAGCTTTTTGGTTCTGAGAGCCTTCTTATGCATTTATAGTTGAAATTTGTATTCTGTATTTCACTTAGTTAAACATCAGACTGGCTCAAGGCGAAGCATTTCAATTGAAACCGAGTCTACATTTTAGGTGTGAGACCATTAGTTAATAGTAAATGCCTGTACTATTTAATCTAGCAAAACAGTTTTTCCCTGTTCTCCTCCAGTGACTCGCTTTAAAAAGTTTCTTAACGTCATTCACTAATTGATGGCCTCTGTTGCCGATTGGCTTGCATACCGGTTTTCATGGTGTCGCCATCCCTGAGGTACCAGGTTTGATCCCCGGCCGGGTCAGTGTAAAAAACTAACTTTTGTATATTGTCTCGAGTCTGGGTGTTTGTGGTACCGTTGTTGTTCCCGAGTTCCCTAGCATAAGTGCTTTAGCTACTCTTTGGGATCAGGGCAACATATGTGATATTGTCTAATATTTATTTAATAAGAATACAATGCCATATGAATTTTGCGGGTCACAGGTTAAAGTTTAAATTTATTTAATACTTTTCTTCACACTTATCTACCCAAAACCAGATGGTCTATTAGGGGGTCTGGTATCTTATGGCATCAACTGTACCAGCACCTCGGTTCTGATTGCTTATCAGCTTTCCGAGTAGAAACCGTATATCCAATACCAGTGTTGTTTCTTTACATAAAAATGTATCCAAAAAATGTGTGTCTTTTGGTAGACTAAAAGTCTGGCTACTGCATTACTTAACGCATTGGCATAGCCACACAAAAGGAGAACGCTGTTAGAGCATTTTGGGCACCGTACCGTTGAGACCCAACTGCATCTACTTAATACAGGTCTAGTTCTGGTACAATGGGCTAACGTACAAGAAGCCTTTTTGTTATTTGTATTCCTTATGCGAAAATCCCGCTTTAGAGTGGTTACACCGGCTACTTTTAGCAGCGATGTAAACGCACATTCGTGATTCTCGATTGCATCGCTACACTTGCGATATAGGCGATGCGTTTGTATCGATACAGTCGCGCGTTTGCATCGCTGCTTAAAATAGCGCGCGTGTTTAAAGGTAGACGATTAGCGACTGCATCGTGTTTGCATCGCGTTTGCATCGCTGCTAAAACTCGCCGTGTGTAACCGTTCTTAAAGGAAGATAATGAATAAATTTGATCCATTATCGCCCTCGTCTAGGAATCATGATTGAAATCAAAAGCGAAATCAGGTTTTTGAATATGCAAAGAATGAATTGATATAAAAAATTGATACCAACGCCTCTATTCCAGGTTTAATGTAAATTGTCATAAATTAAATACTAGCAGCAAAACCTTAAGGGTTTCTTTGCATGCAGGCATCGGCGGGTAATAATCCATCCACAGCTTATTTGATCTTGTCAACCAATGGCGTGTAATAGCTAGATCATATTTTTGTTATTTCCTTTTTTACACTATTTCTTTTCCTTGTCATAACAATGGACCAATAACTTCAGAGAACTGGCTAATCTCCACACTAGAGATCGTTACTCTGAAAAATGTCAAAATTCCGTCTTACGATTAGATGGCGCTGATCATGGCCTCGAAGTATTACGCTTATAAATGGCCGTGAATATGAAATATAAGAAGTCAGTTTATTTTCCTTTTAATATTATTCAAATATTGACCATGAGCCTGATGGCATGATAGAATGCTTTGTGTAGTATAAACTATAGTCCATTCAATATGGATGATTCTGGTGACGTTTGACATTTGGAGTTTCTAGAGATGTAGTGATGTAAAATTGCATGAAAAAAAAATCGATTTAAATATCTTATCCAGATAATTTGTAACGAAGAGGGAATCGATTTACAGAAAATAATTTAAGAACAACTAATGAACAAAGTAATGGTGTAAATATCCATGGATAAATATTTCCTTTTACACATTAAGTAATTTATGTTGTGTCTATCCCTAAAAACTACACAATCAAACAAAAAATCACCAATGAAGCATAAAATCAACAGCAACGAAACGGAATTTGAACAATTACTCCAAAAAGATCACACAAAGCTAAAAACAAAATAATACCCGCTAACAAGGTATGTAAAGGCCTCGTATTGACGCGAGTTATACAAAAGCCGATTCGATTTATCGATTCTATGGTGTAAATCTCTTTGGATAAATAATCCGTTTTATCATCAAGCAGTTGGAGTAATTTATTTCTATATTTTTTTATTTTATTTATTAGGTTCACCAACGTTGTGTACAATATTACTTATATTCGATATACATATATTATTTTATAATCTAATTGCCACAAACACTTAAAGGTAAACACAACATGCACTGACTAAAAGCTAACAATGTCTAATAAAAACTAAAAACTAACAGTGTCTAAATAAAGTAAATAAATATTTATTATATTACTTTCTATTTCACTTAATATTTTTACTTAAAATTAAATGTACAACAAATATTGTTTGATTTAGGTATAATAAAACAAATTTACTATTTATTTTTGTAACCTGGTTGACAGAATATTTATAGATAGTATGCGTGGAACGTAAAAATTAGAAGTATTACAGAACTCATCCCTATTGAAAAGGACTATAATTTATAAATTAACGCTCCCTAATATGATTATAGATAGCGCTAATCCTAAACAAAATAAAAAAATAGCCGGTACTCCATACCTCCATAAATCTGTGCAATAAGCGCCATCTAGTTGATTTGTTTGTAATGACTACAAATTAGAGTAGCTTTGTTAAATAGCAGCTTCTCAGTATAATACAAATTAGTTACAAAAATAGCTATTCATGTCGCGAACAGATGGTAAACGCCCGCACGGAATGACTCTCATTCCTTGGAGTATGGGCCTGGCACTGGTGTGGGACGCCACATGTGCCAACATACTTGCCCCTTCCCATCTCCAGCACATCAGCAAGAGGGCTGGCTCCGCAGCTGAGCTGGCGGAAAG